GTGTGGGGGGGGGGGGTAAAACAAACTATTTTGAATGATTGTTTTTTTAATTCACCTATCACTTACAATGTTGTTTCTCATTGTTTTTAAGTGTTTTTAGTGCATTTTGAGTTGTTTTAAGTGTGTTTTGGCATAAAAATCCAAAAATTTGATAAAAAATTGAAAAATTGTGTTGAAAAAGCCAAAAAGAGTTGTTTTTGTGTTTTGTTTGTGTCTTAGGATACCTTCCAACATAGTGATGATGATTTGGTTTTTAAGTGCATGACTGTTAAAGAAAGTTACAAATATGGATGGAAGTTTCATATGCTCTTGGGTTTATGCTTGGTTGTAGTTATAGTTTACAAATTCACATGTAATCACAAAGGAAAAAAAAAAATCAGTTTTTGTAATATGCTTGAAAGAATGAACTCAAATTAACGCTACAACCCTGTGAGACTTGAGCTTAAAACGTTCTCTGAAGAGTTAATAATCCGTGCATCGTTGTTTTCTAAAGTTGGTGCATGATCTCATTATTTCTTTGCTTAGTTTCTACTTAGAATGCATTTTCATCATTATAATTCCAAATATTAGAACTTATGCCTGTTCCATTCAAAGCATAACATTGATATGCATAACACATATTCAAGATGAAGTTGTTTAGTGAACCAAAGCCAAATAGCCGAATCCACCTTTGTCATTTGTTTTGTAGGTTTAAACCCCGTTGAGCCTTGTTTAGCCTATTTTTCTTTGTTAATCACATCATATAGGACTATCCATATCCTTGTTCTTGAAGTATAGTGGAGCATAACTTAGAAAGAATTCATTTTGATCAACATTATTGCAGAAAACAAGTGTGGGGGAATTTAGATTTCAAAGTTGTGTTTTTTTTTGTGTGCCAAAGAAATTGGGCACGACAGAGAGAAAAATTCGTGGAAAAAGAAAAAGAAAAGAAAAATAAATGCATGAGTTGCATGAATTTTCCCTTGTGTTTAAAAGTAGATTTCTGCATTCTAAAGAGAATTCTAAGTATCTAAATCGTTACTTTGCTCACTATTGCTTTAAGAACGTTTGTTTACCCTTACCTTTCTTTGTTAGCCAACGCCCTTAACCCCGTTACAACCCTTGACTTCCATCTTGAGTATTGTGTATTTCAATATGTGGAGTTTGAAATTGGTATGAGCATATGATATCACTGGTTCTCGCTTCTAAGTAGTGGCAATCCGTTCATGAGATCATATATATACATGCATTAATAATTCCAGAAATTGTTTCTTTGTCGAAAAACATATGTGAGTACTAGTCTTCTTGTTTACATCAATCTTCTCACATATACCTAGTGTAGGGTGTGTAGTCAGAAAATCTGAGTGAAAATTGAGTGCATATCTAGTAAGGAATTGAGGGATTTCTCTAAGGCATGTTACTACATTCAAAATGTTGTTTTAATTGATTAAAATGTAAGCTAGTGAATGATGACTATGATTAAGTAATGCTCGAGGGTAAGGATTGCTTAAATCTATGTGAGTGGTGATCTTTGGCATGTCATATTTCATTGAAAATCTCTGAGGCAAATGTTGGAAGGTATAGGTTATGTTTTGTTTGTTTCGTTTGTTTTGTTTTGCTCGAGGACTAGCAAAAGCTAAGTGTGGGGGAATTTGACAGGAGCATATTTATGCAACTTAGTTAGCTTGTTTCTTGGCATTTATGTTGTTAGTCTGTAGTTATTTTAGTATTTTAAGCTATTTTCGTGTGTTTGTAGGTCCAAAGGGTTAATGTGGCAAAGAAGTGCATTTTGGAGCATTTTGGAGCATTTTTGGGCATAGAATGGATGACATATGCTTGGAGCAAAAGGAATGGACGAAATTTGAAATTTGTGCATCATCATCTCCCTATAAATAACCATTTTAGCACACTCATTTCACCCAACACATCCATTCAACTACCACTACATCCACTCATTTCACCCAACACATCCACTCATTTCACCCAACACATCCACTCATTTCAACCACCCAACACATTCACCTACCACTACATCCACTCATTTCACCCAACACATCCACTCATTTCAACCACCCAACACATTCACCTACCACTACATCCACTCATTTCACCCAACACATCCATTCACCTACCACTACATCCACTCATTTCAACCACCAAACACATTCACCTATCACTACATCCACTCATTACCACCACCGACTACATCCTCTCCCTAGCCTATAAATACATCCATCCACCCTTCACCATAGGATATAGATCTCCATCCAAAGACACTACATTTTCACATCTCACAACTCCATACACTTACACTTTCATCCCTTGCCGTGACCTCCATTTAGCCACTCCCCTTTCTTGTGCCGCAACAAGGTGGTGAAAAAGAAGGTCCTTGGCGTTTCAAGCTTGAAGATTGGAGCGTTTTAGGTGTACTTCGTTCTTACTTTCAATGTCTACTTTTTTATTTTCTGATTTTGTTGCAACTATGAGTGGCTAAACCCATATTTAGTTAGGGGGAAGTTTGAAGCCATGAACATGCTTGAGATATGAATTGATTTCTTCCAATTGTGATTTGATAAGTTGTGATTGCAATTCAATTATCTATTTTATTCATAACTGATTCTTGTATGTTTATTAAGGATGCATACTTAGTTTTCATGTATGAATTAGATGCTAAAATATAAATGAGTTTCACCTAATCGTTACAAGTTTATATTCATGAGTAGTGAAGGTTATTTATCACAATCGTGTTAATTGAATTCTTGGCAAATGTATCATGCATTCATAGTTATAATTGCCTCGTTCAACACTTATGATTTTCATTGCACGTAATGATGTCTGATTGTATCTCTATTATGCATTCATATAGGGGACTTTTAGAGAATGATTTGGGTTGTTACATGCATTCATCCAACTCAATGAGTAAAGGAAAATCTGAGGGTTAATTTGTGCATCACAGTTAATTTGGGGTGTTGAGTATCATAGTTTATTGAAAAGCAATTGGAAATCGATTCATGTACAAGTGTGTCATGTGTGAAGAACGGACCTCTAACTAATCCACCCATCATTTTATTTCTCAAATTCATTTTATAATTTGTCTAATTTTATAAGTTGTTTGTTTGTTTCGAATTCATAAAAACCAAAACCCCCCTTTTACTTTCTTGTTTCAAAGTGTTTAATTTCTGTTTTGGTTATGTTTTAGAGTGTTTTGAGTCAAGTCAAAACCCTAAATTCATCCAAAGTTGTGTTAGAGTCAAAATCTACCCATTTTGTGTTTTAGGCAGTTTTGAGTGTTTTTAAGTTGTTTTGAGTCTAGTGAACTTGTTTTGAGTCTTTTGAGTCTATTCAAACGTCTTTAACTTTTTTTTATGTTTTTGAGTTCGTTTAGAGGTTTTAGCAAGCCTTCCTAATCCCCGATTTAGAACGATCCCTACTTGCATTTATACTACAATTTGACAACAAGAGGGTTTAATATGAGTGCTTAACTTTCTTCGCATCAGGTATCATTGAGGGATTGCGGAAGTGACAATGTGGGATCATCGAACTCATCAACGCTTGCAATATAATTAATTTTTTATTTGATGTTTTTTATTGACGAAGAGGCGAAGAATTATAGATTCATCATTTCATTCCTATCGATTCAACATATTGCTAAATGTTTGGGAGTTCCCATCTAGTTTTATATGTAGATTACTTATAGATGTCAACTGCATTTTACACCATGTACATGTGAAGCACTAATTATTTAGTTAATTAAAGCTTAAAAATAATTACCGTTCTCAGTAATGTAAATGAGCGGATCATTATATTTGTGCTTTGCGTAGAATAAAATCTCTCGAATGCCTTTTGGACAAACAACTAGCCAGCTTGAAGAAGCCTGCAACCCCATTTTATGAAGGTAAGTTAACTAAATGAAAAACAATTACTCTTTGAATGCAAATAGTTTAGCTAATTGTTCGATGCGTACCGGAGGACCAAGGGGGACTCCATTAAGCTCGGCTGCCACAACATTTAGGAATATGAGATTTTAAATATTTTGATGAACTTAAATTACTCAAATTAAATAATTGGTTTCTCATTTTGTACTCACTTGATTCAAAAACGCGAGCATCGGTCAAGAAGCTTGCATTTGCATAATTATTATGAGGTTGATCGCTTGAATAGTGAGTAGTATAATAATTCATTCCAACAAAATCAAATGACCCTTTTATTAACTTGGATTCTTCTTCTGTAAATTTAGGTAATCTTTCTTTAACAAGAACTTGCATACTGTGCGGATATTGGCCGCTTGTCAATGGCTGCATAAACCTACATAATCATTGAAATTTCATCAATAAATTTTGTAATATTATCATTTAAATGAACAGTTAATTGGGTTGATATATAAGTTTGGAATTATTAATAAACTTGCCATCCAAACATAAAATCCAAAGATCGTTTTGCAGCATTCCGATGACGCGTTGCGTTAGAAACTGGCACAAACCAATTTGTCGCTAATGTTATTCCTATCACGCCTTCTTGAAATGCCTGCACATCACCACCCAAACTTGATTAGTTACAGTATGAAAAAAGGTAAATTAACCCTATCTCATTAATTTAATATTACAACATTGAGTATTAATATGACTTGATATTTAGTCTTGTACACTTTAACAGCATGTGCATGAGCGAGGAGGAAGTGGTGTGCTACTATATAGGGTTCGGTAGCCGAATCACCGCCGGTGCAGTTTAAGTTCTGCCAAGCAGAACATCGCCCGGGTGCTAATTCTCCTGATGCATAGCCAAAAGTAATAAAAGTATATGGCTCATTTAGTGTGATCCAATGCTTTACCCGATCGCCAAATAACTTAAAGCAAAGTTCTGCGTCGTCTCGAAAATGATTGCTGCAACATGGAAAATTAAAAATCAGTTGCATGCTGATTTTGAAGGTTTATGCATTATAGCAATATACATTTGAATATCTAAACGATCAATCATCAAGAAGAGAAAGAATTATTATTAATTAGAGAATCAAAGTCTACTACTTACACAATTTGACGGTTTAAGAAACCACCATATTCTTCTTCTAAAGCTTGAGGAAGATCCCAATGAAAGATTGTCGCATATGGCGTTACACCTGTGCATGATCAATAAAAGCAACACGCTTGATTATATAACATGTAACTCTTAATATGTATATATGTATATGTGTGTGTCTGTATATATATATTTGTAAGGTGGGATGATATATGAGATTAAGCAGTTGCATCACCTTTGTTTAGGAGTTCATTGAGGAGATTGTTGTAGTATTGTACTCCTTCCTTGTTCACACCCCCACTTAGCTTTCCATCTAATTATATAATTAAAATTAAACAAGAACATAAGCAAATACATTCGAAAGGGGAACAAAATAGGTTAAACTACAGATATTATTGGTTATATTACTCAGAGCAAAGATCATGCATGGACACACTACTTCGTCCCAACTAATTAATGCGAATGCGGATGATCAACTTACTTGGTAACAATCTAGACCATGAGATAGAGAACCTATAAGCATCCAATCCCATAACCTTCAAAATCTTTACATCTTCCTATATAGAATAACGCAATATGTATTATAAGAAAATGCCTCATCTTCAACCTCCTTAATTTTCTTAAGGCCGTAAATTCTTTAATTCTCCTTATACTATTGAATAATTCAGAAGGACTGGAGTACAAAGTTAATGAAATTTTTGAACCTTATAGCGGTGGTATTGATCATCAGCCACGTCCCTAGTGCTTCCATCAATGATTTTTTCTGCAATTAACCATGTAAAATTTTCATTATCTTCATAAACCTCATGGTTTAGGCCTCGTCCCCCACCAATGTCTAACCCTTGTAAAGGTTAAGAATAAATCTGTATTAATCAAGGTTCAATTTAATCTGGCACCGGTGTAGGTACCTGGATACTGGTGGGTGAAGTTATCCCATATGCTTGGTCCTTTACCACCTTCATTCCATGCACCTTCATACTGAAATTAATTTACACATATAAGAGTACAAAATGAGCATGTTAGTATTTTCCTGCACGTATGCTAATAGGTCTGACATTAAATAAAAACCCTAACAACTTATTAAGTGTAGAAACACTAACTTGGTACGATGCTGAAGCTGAACCAAATACAAAGCCTGATGGAAAACTGCTTCTGTTCAGGGAAGCACTGTTATAACGACTAGGTATAATAGCAATAGTTTTACTATCTGCCGCTGCAAAGCCAGTTAGTAGTAGCACACCCAACAGCAGTGACAGTAACCTCATTGCCATTGCTAATTAGGGCTTTTGGTGAACTGGAATGGTTTTGGCCTTCCTCGCGTGGCGTTTATATAGAGAAAGTATGTATGAGGAAAACATGTAACCGTTAATATTTAATTAAGAACGTGGATCAATACAGATAATAAATAATTAGTAAAAGTATAGATTGTAAATAAGTACCAAAAGTGTTCGATATCAATTGGCTAGACACATTAGCAACATTATAAATAATTTAGAATATCACGAGAATATACCCCTATATAATCTAATCGTGATAAGGTCATGACTTGCATAGTTGCATTAAGTTGCCCTATATAATCTAATCGTGATAAGGTCATGACTTGCATTAAGTTGGGAACGTGCACATAGCGTACATGAAACTTAATATCTTTGAGATTTCAATGAACAGATTATGGTGAGGTGAAAATTTTATTAGGGATGGGGTAAAAAAAGCAGGGGGTGAAAGTCTATTTCTTCACGTTTTTCCTCCAAACCTATTGAAATGTGTAACAAGTTAAGAGGTATTGCACATACAAAAACGAATTAAGTACTTGTTTGTGGGAACTGGATATACTGATTTGTTAATATTAATGATGTTCCATATTTTGTAATTATTTTAGAGTTAGATATGTTTACTTCCTGCTTGGAATTTGACAATTTGTTAAGGAAATTCAGCTGGTCTCAGTAACATAATAAAAGACTACAAAAGTGTTCAGAGGGCTGACCACTACACCAAAACTGTCAAAAAGTGGATTGAAATAGAGATGTATCCCTATGCTAGTTTGGAGGGTTCATGCCTAATCCATCGCTACCGCAAAATTGTCAAAAAAATTAGTTATATTGTAGAAACTGTCAAAAAGTGGATTGAAATAGAGATGTATCCCTATGCTAGTTTGGAGGGTTCGCGCCTAATCCATCGCCACAACAAAATTGTCGAAAAAATTAGTTATATTGTAGTTATGATAGCAGGCAAGGGGAACAAAAAGGTTCCATAGTTCTGGTTCTAGACTTTTAAGAGAGTAATTAGAATACAAGAGTGTAAAGGGTAAAGTTTTAGTTCTAGTTCTATACTTTCTTGGGGCAAAGGTTTTTATACACGAATTCACACATCCATCTTGAATAAAACTTTTATTATTTTTTTTATTTTTAAGAAACATCTGCGATACAAGAGAATTTTATTGGTAACGTAAGAAAGTGACATCTAGTTAAAAGGGACATAAACTTTACCTCTCATAATACAAAAAAGAAGCTTTACTGAATAGAACTTGGACCTAACTTTAATTTAACCAAATACTACGATAAACTATTATTTAACCAAAAAAACTTAAAATTTAATCTTAATGACAAACTATTCATATACCAGCCCTCCAAACGTAAAAGTTGGCGACCGAACTAAAAGCTGAACACAATAATATTTTTTTTTTTGAACTTGCACCTAACGGAAAGCCTGTTACCTTATTAAATATGAAGGTGATGAAATGGCGTCCACCATCCCACTTTCATTATTCCAACTACCACACGTGCCAAACTAATAAATAAAATCAATTGTCCTTTGTTTCACTATGGGTATGTAGAAAACTTGATTTTTAAAGTGAGCTTTATAAGATTTTTGTTTTTTTAATTCATAAAATATAGCTATTTATGTATGTTTTTCTAATTCATAGAATATTGCTATTTTTGTATGTAAAAAGATTTAATGGTCCTGTAATTTAATTGCAGTCAAATTGTTTATTTATTTTTTGTTGCTCAAGACAGTTTTGATACATTTCTCAACGGTCCTTATTTCAATTTTTTTTCCAGACACTGCTCCTGACGGAAGAATCCCAAAAGGGCCATGAATACTAAAAAGGAAAAACATATTTATCAAAATATTATATGTTTTTGAAACCCACAAAAAAAAAAACACCATAATTTAACATGAGAGAGAGGAGAGAGAATAGAGAAGAGGGGACTGAAAATTTCATGAAGCTGAATTCAAGCTGTTATACATAGCCAAATCAAAAGTAATCCATATATATATAGATTCTACTATTAAATAGCAATATATATGACCACCATTTTTTGGAGAAAGACGTGCGATCAATCAAGATTCAAGATTGGGTTATTTTGTCAAAACTTTGTCTTTATTTTGTTCATTTTCAAAAATAGTGGGAGTTATTTTAGTTTAATTTTTGAAATAGTACATGGTTATTTTGGTTCAGTTTCAGAAATAACGTGGATTATTTTTCTGTAGTTACCAAAACAATGGAATTTCGTTAATCGGACATCACATATGGAATTGGGTATCAAGTTTAACCTAGGAAGGTCAAGGGATGCCTCGACCCACGCGCCTCCGTATCCGGCTATTGACCGCCCCCACTCGCCGGAAAGATAAACTATTTCTAAAAATTCTCAAACTTCACCGAAATGAAGATCTCAATGAGTAAAGCAAGTTTTATACCTGCGGCCAAGTCCAATTTGGCCGGGAAGAACTTCAAATCGCCAAGAACTCGCCAGAACCCTAGAATTTGGGTGTCCTTTAATTCGATCAATCCGCAGCACCACGGCCCCTAAAAATGTTTGGGCTTTGTTCTTGACCTCCAGAGAAGTGTTTTTGTAGTGGTGATTGAAGGTAAATGTTTAAGAAATGGGTGGATCGCCGCCTAGTACCCACGAAGTCGTGTGTCGGCCTTCACAAAATTAGAACCAAAACTCTCTGTTTTTGGGCTGAAATGGTGGATGGGAGGCCATATGAGTGATTTTCAGGTGATGGTGGTGATCAACGAGAAAAATGGCTGAAATTCGTCGGATTTGGAATCGGGTCGAAACTGGGTTGTGCACGGGTTGAAAGGGAAGGGTTTATGATCCCGTGCCTCTCACTCCTTTCTCCTTTCTTCCATTCTCTTCCTCCCATTGGTCCACTCACCTCCTCCTTCTCTGGTTAGTCCACCTCCTATCAGATGGGGACTTCCTCCCCCTTACCACCTTCCTTCCCTTTCTTCTCATTTTCTGATTGGTCATCTCTTTCTTTTAACTTAGTGGTCCCTTATTTCCTTCCCTTACTTCTGATTGGTTACCATTCCCCATGGTATAAAATATTGATGATATCGGAAATATCGGTAGTCCAAAAACATGGAAATTTCGATGGAAATATCGGGATATTATCGATATCGATAAAAATTGAATAAAAACCACGGAAATTGTAAGAAAAACTTGGAAATTTTTATTGAAACTTTGGAGAAAGTTTATTTAGTCAATTATCTATTAGTTGATCGTAAAAAATTAGAAGGAAATGCATTGCATGATGGATTTAACTAATTTAAGTTGATTATACAGCGAGCTGGCAAACATTATAAGTGTAGAAAATATGTAGTAATTAATGAAAAAAAGATTAAACACACCATAATCATTTATGTATAATGATTTACTACAATATTTTACACTTTATACATTGCATGGTAAGATACATGAGTGATTTAGTACCACATAAAGTTCCTATGAGGTTCAAATTTTCACTATCTTCATCATCTCTATGTGTAGAGTAAGTTTATTGTGAAGAGTATTCATCAAATGATAAATCCTCAAAATAGTTTTGCATGTAATTATTAACATGCCACTCATATAAATTAATAAATATAAATATTTTAGCATATTATCACTAAAACATAAGTGATATATCGTGGTTAAGGTGTTGGAGGAGTAAAATGGGAGGGGTTCAAATCCCTTTTGTGTTTTTTTTCCTCCTTTTTTTCCCCTTTTTTCTTATTTTTCTTTTTTTTTCCCTTCCTTTACATCGATATTTTCGATATTTTAGCGATATTACACCAATATTTTGCGATATTATCGTCGATATTGTCGATATTTGTACGATATGTACATGGATATGTTCCGAAATATCCGTGATTCGAAAAAACCGAAATATCCTCGATATTTCGTCGATATTATCGATATTTCAGACTATGCCATTTCCAAATAGTGGGAGTTCAAATAATTTATAATCTAAAATGTAAGTAATCAATTTCAAAAGTCTGTAACTATACCGTTATAATCCGGACTCGCAAACGGTCTTCGCCTATGCGTTCATACCATTGAGTACTACGCAAATACGTCAAAAGAATAAGTCATACGCTTTTTTAGACGATGGTCAACAGAAGTCAAAATCCTTGCCTTTAGGGCATTTTCGTCAATTCATGCTTTTAAAATTAATAAAAACGTAAAATTAGGAACGGGTTGTCACAGTATGAGTTATTTTAAGGAAAATTAATGAAAAGGGTTTGAAAACTTTGAGTTTTAACGATAAGGACAAAATAAGTGTAAAGTGAATAGTACAATGATTGACTTTTTAGTGTAAAAATGCGGTTTTTCGTTAAAGTGAACAGTACCGGGAACTTTTTGTTAAAGTTCCCAAATAAATTACGTTTAAAAAATAGTGTCAATTATTTTAATTTTTTTGTTTATCTTGAAAAAGAGTTAAGTATTATAATGGAGTAGAAGCATAAAGGCATCCTTCTCCTTCATGATAAATTCCAAACGTTAACGCGAATAAGGAAATTTAAGGATTCTGTTTAGTGTGGGTGAATACATATAAACGCGACAAAGTATAAAGGCTTTCCTGTTTGTAGCTTGATTCATTCCTTGTTTTAATATAGTCGATGATGTTTTCCTCAAGTCATGCATCGATTCCATCCCCTTATATATGCAAGAGATGAAGAAGCTAATTAATGCTAACAAAAGTAAAGAATGTAAAGGAGAAAAAAATAAGAGAAAAAAGAAAATAATATTGCAGTCCTATCGGATTAGGAATGTGATTGTGTAAATCCTAGTGTATCTAGGAGTATCTTGTATATTCCCTTTAGTAGTTTAATTCCTATTAGAGATGTAATCCCATTAGGCTACGGATTCTACCTATCCAACTACTATCAATAAAGGTATAAGGGGATGATACAACATACAACTTTGAATTACATCTCTCTTTTCTCTCTATTGCCGCCGACCCCTCTCCCTCTATGTCCTTTGTACAGTTCAGTCAAATAGGCCTACAACACGTTATCAGCACGCTCTTGGCAGAAGCTAAGGAACTAAAAGATCGTGGATGAGGCTTTCTTCTACAAATTCAAAGACTTTCAATTGATTTCTGCCAATCAGGTTCTTCTAAAATAAATTAAGATATTTGAAAAAACCTTGAAGCATCAAATAGGATTTCGAGTGCCACGTGTCGAGATGTAATTAGTTGTGTAAATTTTAGACATGATCAAGTCTTTCTTGAGGTGGATGTTGAAATAACACCCACCCTTTACAAATTTCCCAACAATCGTGATGCGTAAAGGGTTTTTTCATGTCCTCCATATACAATTCCTCCGCTTGGTGTACCTAGACAATATAATTACGAAAATTAAAGGAAATTAATTTATGAAATTAAATGTAATATAATTAAATATTTAAAACAACTTGTGAAAACAATTATTTCGTCGTAGTTTTGGGGATTCGATGGAGTGGTGCCTTCGTAGAACTCATAGTACTTTTTGGACGTACGAGTCCAAACACCTTCACTTGTTTAAGAACTACTCTTGACACTATCTTCCGAGACCCATCTATAAGCCATGCAAAGAGCTTCATCTTCTTTTCAGGTCCAAGCCTTTCCTTTCATTGCAGATGTGGCCCTTTGAAAATTGTTGAAAAAATTGAATGAAAGATTATTGGAAGAGGTAAGATAGTATGGAATGGTGAAAATGATGTGAGAAATGGTGTAGGAATGACTTAGGTATTTATAGGGAAAAAAATGCTAATTTTTTTTAAAAATTCGTCCAAAAAAAATAAATTAAATTCCAATGGTAATCTGACGTCAACTAGCCGTTGGCTGTCAAGTGGGCTGGGCTGCAGGGCTGGCTAGCTGGCTGGAAATGGCCAATTCGCTGGCCTGATTTTGGTTTTTTAGCCCAGTGGGGCCCAGAAACCCTTTGGCCTAGCCCTCAGTTAGAAACGGTTTTCGTGTCATTTAGAGCTATTTTTAACCCTACGACCCTTTGACTGGGTCGATTGGAGATGGCCTAACCTAGTAAATTGTTCTCCTTTTTTCTTCAAAATCCCATGTTCTTATATGTTTTGAATCATCAATGCGTAAATGCCGTGATGGATTCTAACATGCTTGATTTCATCAAGAATGCCCTTAATTCATGTGATCGTGGAATTTAGGTGTAAAACTATGTGTGTTGTATGCGAATGCGGATTTATGGTTTGAAAGGTTAATCAATACGAATGCATTACCTCACTGGTGTAACCCTAAGAAAGAATGATGTGATGTGAGCTACATCATGAACTATTCTTGACGAATAGCCTATGGCGAGGCGTTAAGAAGATAAGTTTCTAATGAACGCGTCTATGTGTAGACGGTGGCGTGTATGCAAGATGAGCCTCTGTTAGGCGTAGAGAAAATATGCGTACGATAGTTATAGAGAAGATGAACAGTTGTTCATAGTCTTGGTAGGGAGAGTAAGCCTATCAAATCGGGAATCTAGGATAAGATATCCAATCTTCTTACGATTATGATTGCATTATCTAATTTCTAAGATATCCTAATTTGACTTGAATTAGGGTTTTCTTACTTAGGAGACAAGTAACATCTTCAATGTGTAGTATGTCAGACTAAGGACTACGCTCATGGGTTACAAGTATTCTGGTCCCTCTTGCCACCCGAGATGCCACATGTTATAAGGACCATTTTTTATAGGGACCATTTTTTATTTTGTCCATACACATGTTATAAGGACCATTTTTTATAGGGACCATTTTTTATTTTGTCCACCCGAGATGCCACATGTTATAAGGACCATTTTTTATAGGGTTTTCTTACTTAGGAGACAAGAAAATCATATTCCCACATCCTGTATGTTATAGGGACCATTTTTTATTTTGTCCATACACAAAGAAACATCCATATATAATTGGCATATTTATTTTACGAAAGAGGAAGAACATTCCTAAAGGAATACAATTATGAAAATAGGGAAATGATATGCTTGGCATATTTATTTCACGAACAACAACTGCAGCAGGATATCTTCACCATTATCCAAGGAAATATTTGAACCAGCTTGCTGAGAGTTTTGGGTGCCTCTTAAGTCCATCATTGTAATCTATATAGACGAAACCAAATCGTAAGGTGTATCCAGCAGCCCATTCAAAATTGTCCGTCAATGACCATGCAAAGTATCCCTTCACATTTACACCATCACTGCACAAAAAAGGCGAATTTCAAATGTAAGTATGTCTAGTGTAGTGATAAGTAAAAGATATAAGTTAAACCTTATTTAACTTTTCAAAAGAACTTACTCGATTGCTTTTCGAAGATAGTCGAGGTGGTGGTAGTGGTAATCAATTCTGTGGGTATCATTGAGGGATTGCGGAAGTGACAATTTGGGATCATCGAACTCATCCATGCCTGCAATATAATTAATTTTTTATTTAATGTTTTTTATTGAAGAAGAGGCGAAGAATTATAGATTCATCATTTCATTCCTATCGATTCAACAGATTGCTAAATGTTTGAGAGTTCCCATCTAGTTTTATATGTAGATCACTTATAGATGTCAACTGCATTTTACACCATATACATGTGAAGCATTAATTATTTAGTTAATTAAGGTTTAAAAATAATTACCGTTCTCAGTAATGTAAATGACCGGATTATTATATTTGTGCTTTGCGTAAAGTAAAATCTCTCGAATGCCTTTTGGATAAATAACTAGCCAGCTTGAAGCAGCCTGCAACCCCAATTTATGAAGGTAAGTTAACTAAATGAAAAACAATTACTCTTTGAATGCAAATAGTTTAGCTAATTGTTCGATGCGTACCGGAGGACCAATGGGGACTCCATTAAGCTCGGCTGCCACAACATTTAGGAATATGAGATTTTAAATATTTTGATGAACTTAAATTAGTCAAATTAAATAATTGGTTTTTCATTTTGTACTCACTTGATTCAAAAACGCAAGCATCGGTCAAGAAGCTTGGATTTGCAGAATTATTATCAGGTTGATCGCTTGAATAGTGAGTAGTATAATAATTCATTCCAACAAAATCAAATGACCCTTTTATTAACTTGGATTCTTCTTCTGTAAATTTAGGTAATCTTTCTTTAACAAGAACTTGCATACTGTGCGGATATTGGCCGCTTGTCAATGGCTCCATAAACCTATATAATCATTGAAATTTCGTCAATAAATTTTGTATTATTATCGTATAAATGAACATTTAATTGGGTTGATATATAAGTTTGGAACAAATAAACTTGCCATCCAAACATAAAATCCAAAGATCGATTTGCAGCATTCTGATGACGAGTTTCGTTAGAAATTGGCACAAACCAATTTGCCGCTAATGTTATTCCTATCACGCCTTCTTGAGATGCCTGCACATCACCACCTAAACTTGATTAGTTACGGTATGAAAAAAGGTAAATTAACCCTATCTCATCAATTTAATATTACAACATTGAGTATTAATATGACCTGATATTTAGTCTTGTACACTTCAACAGCATGTGCATGAGCGAGGAGGAAGTGGTGTGCTACTATATAGGGTTCGGTAGCCGAATCACCGCCGGTGCAGTTTAAGTTCTGCCAAGCAGAACATCGCCCGGGTGCTAATTGTCCTGATGCATAGCCAAAATTAATAAAATTATATGGCTCATTTAGTGTGATCCAATGCTTTACCCGATCGCCAAATAACTTAAAGCAAAGTTCTGCATAGTCTCGAAAATGATTGCTGCAACATGGAAAATTAAAAATCAGTTGCACGCTGATTTTGAAGGTTTATGCATTATAGCAATATACATTTGAATATGTAAACGATCAATCATCAAGAAGATAAAGAATTATTATTAATTAGAGAATCAAAGTCTACACTTACACAATTTGACGGTTTAAGAAACCACCATATTCTTCTTCTAAAGCTTGAGGAAGATCCCAATGAAAGATTGTCACATATGGCGCTATACCTGTGCATGATCAATAAAAACAACACGCTCGATTATATAACATGTAACTCTTAATATGTATATATGTATATGTGTGTCTGTATATATATATTTGTAAGGTGGGATGATATATGAGATTAAGCTGTTGCATCACCTTTGTTTTGGAGTTCATTGATGAGATTGTTGTAGTATTGTACTCCTTCCTTGCTCACACCCCCACTTAGCTTTCCATCTAATTATATAATTAAAATTAAACAAGAACATAAGCAAATACATTCGAAAGGGGAACAAAATATGTTAAACTACATATATTATTGGTTATATTACTCAGGGCAAACATCATGCATGGACACACTACTTCGTCCCAACTAATTAACGCGAATGCGGATGATCAACTTACTTGGTAACAATCTGGACCATGAGATAGAGAACCTATAAGCATCCAATCCCATATCCTTCATAATCTTTACATCTTCCTATATAGAATAACACAATATGTGTTATAAGAAAATGCCTCATCTTCAACCTCCTTAATTTTCTTAAGGCCGTAAATTCTTTAATTCTCCTTATACTATTGAATAATTCAGAAGGACTGGAGAACAAAGTTAATGAAATTTTTGAACCTTATAGCGGTGGTATTGATCATTAGCCACGTCCCCATTGCTTCCATCACTGATTTTTTCTGCAATTAACCATGTAAAATTTTCATTATCTTCATAAACCTCATGGTTTAGGCCTCGTCCCCCATCAATGTCTAACCCTTGTAAAGGTTAAGTATAAATCTGTATTAATCAAGGTTCAATTCAATCTGGCACCGGTGTAGGTACCTGGATACTGGTGGGTGAAGTTATCCCATATGCTTGGTCCTTTACCACCTTCATTCCATGCACCTTCATACTGAAATTAATTTACACATATAAGAGTACAAAATGAGCATCTTAGTATTTTCCTGCATGTATGCTAATAGGGCGGACATTAAACGAAAACCCTAACAACTTATTAAGTGCAGAAACACTAACTTGGTAAGATGCTGAAGCTGAACCAAATACAAAGCCTGATGGAAAACTGCTCCTGTTCAGGGAAGCACTGCTTCTGTTCAGGGAAGCACTGCTATAACGACTAGGTATATTAGTTAGTAGTTTTTCCACCGGCCTCTCGAATTCCTCACTCTCCCTCTCACTTCCAACCCCAGTAGACCCAAACCCACCAGCCCCTTCAAACGAAAGCCTCCCCTCACTCGCTCCGAACCCGCCCACCTGACTCACCAACTCCCCCTGATCCCCGGCTTCGCTCTCCACCCTGCTGGCCACCACCCCTTCCTGCTGGTCCGTACTGTCGGAGCTCTGAACCGGAATCACATCGCACTCTTCTCGCTTGACCGCCGAGTTCAAAACCCTCCTGCCTTTCTGTTTGTTTCTGGGGAAAGTTGGGTTTTTTGGGAGTTTGGAGGTCAAGATGGGTTTTGGGTGAGCGGCAATGCGTTTTCTGGGTTTGGGGTTCGGGAGAGAGAGGAAGCTCTGAGCTGCTATGGAGTGGATGGCGGCCATGGCTGACCGTTGGGACAGAGTCGGGAGGGGCACCGAGTTAAGTCTGAACATTGTATCTCGCCGCGTTGGGACGGGGAAATGCGATTGGTTTGGATATGGTAGCTGTGGCGGGAGATGCGATCAAGTGCGCTAAGGAATATAATTTCAGTTTGGGGAGCCGTTGGGTTTTGTAGATGTTCTGAGATGAACCGATGGAGGTTTTGTGGTTGATCTTGAAGGGGGTGCAATCGTGTAGGATTATAATTGGGTGAAAAGAGGGTGGTGTAGATTTTTATGATGAGGTGCTGTGTTGAGGATGTTGTTTTGTTTTTTAGGGAGAATATGGTGATGAAATGCAGGCCACATGAAAAAGATGATTGTTTGTTAAGCCAGACAAAATGGATAAATTAACAAATTTGAGAGATGCAAATAATTGGACTTTGACCTGAATATTCCCAGGAGAACGATGTCGTGCTGCTCTTTTACTCATACCATTACTCTTTTTTTTAAGTTTGGCCATATAAGCTGACGATATGGTAGATATGTCCTATTTTAACATATATTTTTCTAATATCTCATCATGTATAACATGTGTTACTTGATGTACATTTTTTTCTAATATCTAAAAAATTTGATACCAGTCAATCGATTCCAGATAGATTTCCAGATAACTTTGCAACACATGTTTTTTGCTGCAATTTTGTATGCCATTCAAGTTTCCATGGTCCTCCTTAACACAAATGTAGTCTTGTTTTGTTGTTTCTCAAAGTTTTTGTTATTTCATTCATGGAATATGATTGATTCAGTTTTGTCTCGTCAAATTGAGGAATCAGAGTTTTATTAGTTTAAACAATCTTGAGCGTCTTTATCTATTGCTAATATAATCGATGTTGGATGTTCACATTGTAATAATGTAACTGTCAACCAAACCATTCATATTACATTTTGCAAGTAATTTTCAGTATAAATTGTGAAGGAAAGGACGTCGATGGAATGAAGACTCTCAACTTCCAACCAAAACAGTGGGAGTGTAATTAAGTTGTTGAATGAGGTAGAAAACATCAGATAAATGTTCTTATAACTATTTGCATGTATAACATTGGAATTTGTATCATAAAATGCAAACACATCCGGCAAGTGGCAATGCTAAAGCTTAAGGGAAATTTTGGAAATATCTCGGTGCCAAAAGCAAAAGGCCACCTATTATGGTGTTCACACCTTTCCTTTCTTCAGCTCACTGCCAACAGGACTTCTACGACAAGAATAGACTTTCTCAACTTTCTTTTTGTTTGAGCCCTAACAAATGGGTCAGCAACCAATGAGTCTGTACAACCATAGAAAGCCATGAAATTGTTTGTTAGTAACATGAGTTGATGTTTTAAAAACTGTAATCGGATTTACGAAAAATGGAAGACAACGAAAAAAGAACATGTGAATGACTAAAAACAGTAATCAAAATTATTCATTACTTCAGCAAAATTAATCAGAATTTCAAAACACCAATTTTGTTTTATATCTTCTTGTTGCTTCTGGTGACATGGGAACGAAAGGAGGATGGTGGTATGTTGTTGCCGCAGTGAATCAGGGAGTCAAAGCTCTTTGCCCGGAATTTTCTTCATCCTCTGCCCCTCCCCTCCATCAAGGTTAGTAGGTTAGAAGTTGATTTGAAATGTGGAATCAATCCAAGAACCTAAACTGCAGCCAAAATCATATCCTTTGTAAACAAAGAGTTGAACATTTCCTGATAACCCAATTGGATGAACAAATAACTTTTATCGAATTTACAAAAGTTGAAGAGAACGAAAACTGAAAAGATGAATCACTAACCCGATGAAATTTTTGATTTTTGGAGAAAAATTTGTTCCGAAAGCTCAAATCTTTTACTAATTTCTGTCACTGAGTTTGTCGATCTTTTTTTGTTTGGAATGAACTGAAACCACACAGCGAATTCCTGAAAATTAAAATTAGCCTCATTCCGATTACACATCTCTAAATATTGGTGGTATGCAGGTGGTTAGTGTTGAACCTTCCCACCAAACTCAGATCGTGGAAATCTTTGGGAGAGAAAATTGCCCACTACTGCTTAGCAGTTTGAGAGGCTTAAGCACGTCTACTTGTTTTTCTTCTTTTTTTTCAAATTTCTGTTTTCTTTTCCAATACTTTTTAAATTTTTTATATTTTAAATTTTTATATTTTCTTTCTACTGTAACCTTTTTTATACTTCTTTTTTACATATATGGTAAATATATTATTTTTTTTTAGTTTGTGTTTTTAAACTGCCCACTACTTCTTAGCAGTTTGTGAGGGTTAACTGTTAAGCACGTATGTTTATAGATTTTATTTTATTTTATTTGTTTTCTACCCAATTATGGTGTTTTTACGACTTTGTCCTCATTTTCTAAACTTTTGTGGTTTTTAATTGTGAATGAAGCAAAGGGCAATATTGGGTTTACTGAATGTTTCACCAAACTGGGGCTCTCACTTTATATATATATATAGACATAAAGTGAGAAGGATAAAAAGGTGAAACATTCAAAATACCAAAGATTGTCTGTCAAAAATTCTAAAAATTACAATTGAACCATAAGAATTTAAAGTAATTCACCACATTTTAATTTTGAATGAATTTTAAATTTAAAACTTTAATTAAAAAAAACTCCCATGTTAGTGGGTAGTTTCATGGTTTTGCTTTTTTTTTTCTGAATAATTTTTTAATAAAAATATAAAATAGTTAACTTAAAAAAAATTAAAAGACATAATCTAATATAAAAAGGTCAATTGCCACACGCGAATGCGTGTGGCAAGAGGCTAGTAAAGAGAAAGTATGTATGAGGAAAACATGTAACCGTTAATCTATATCTATATATATAAAGTATATATAAAGTGAGAGCCTCAGTTTGGTGAAACATTCCAAAATACCAAGAATATCCTTATATTTTCTTCACAATCAAACCCAAAAAAAATCAGAAAATAAGGACAAACTGGTAAAAAAAACCAAATTCATCATCCCAAAGGGTAGTTTGATAATAGTTCTCACTCTTTCACAACTACTACAACACGTTCCCGCTGTTTCACAACTGCCCGTGCCAATTTGCATCAAACTCCGCTCCTCCCTCTTAACCTTTGGCTAGCGTAAAACTCCATTCAATTTCTTCCTCCATTAGTTCTTCAATCATCTCACGTATTCAAATATTATTTTTGTTTTTTTTTGTTTATGCAGTTTTAATTTATTTGGGAACTTTTTTAGTCCCCTAGATTCTTCTATTGCTACTCAATTCCGAGATTTGATCGTGCTTTTTTGAATTGCAGCATAAAGAGGTGATGAGGCTTTCAACCCATTTACAAAGGATATATCCCAATGCCATTGGGTGTTTGAGTGGTATTTTCGTTTCTATTGTCTCTGTCTTTTTTATCATATCAATTCACAGGCAACAATGGAGTCCTCTCTCTCAAATCGTCCTAATTGGTCCCTTTATAAACTCCTTTTATTTGGGTTTTACAACAATCTCATTATTCATTTAGCCTATATAAGAGGAGTATTTACACAAGCTCATTGTTCACAGCCGTTTGGTAATTGTTCCACTGGTAATTCTGATGTGAATCTCTCATATGCATAACATGTTAATAGCACATGGCATGGCCGTTGACATCTATTGAAAGGTTAATCAATACGAATGCATTACCTCACTGGTGTAACCCTAAGAAAGAATGGTGCGATGTGAACTACATCATGAACTATTCTTGACGAATAGCCTATGGCGAGGCGTTAAGAAGATAAGTTTCTAATGAACGCGTCTATGTGTAGACGGTGGCGTGTATGCAAGATGAGCCTCTGTTAGGCATAGAGAAAATATGCGTACGATAGTTATAGAGAAGATGAACAGTTGTTCATAGTCTTGGTAGGGAGAGTAAGCCTATCAAATCGGGAATCTAGGATAAGATATCCAATCTTCTTACGATTATGATTGCATTATCTAATTTCTAAGATATCCTAATTTGACTTGAATTAGGGTTTTCTTACTTAGGAGACAAGTAACATCTTCAATGTGTAGTATGTCAGACTAAGGACTACGCTCATGGGTTACAAGTATTCCGGTCCCTCTTGCCACCCGAGATGCCACATGTTATAAGGACCATTTTTTATAGGGACCATTTTTTATTTTGTCCATACACATGTTATAGGGACCATTTTTTATTTTGTACATACACATGTTATAAGGACCATTTTTTATAGGGACCATTTTTTATAGGGACCATTTTTTATTTTGTCCACCCGAGATGCCACATGTTATAAGGACCATTTTTTATAGGGTTTTCTTACTTAGGAGACAAGAAAATCATATTCCCACATCCTGTATGTTATAGGGACCATTTTTTATTTTGTCCATACACAAAGAAACATCCATATATAATTGGCATATTTATTTTATGAAAGAGGAAGAACATTCCTAAAGGAATACAATTATGAAAATAGGGAAATGATATGCTTGGCATATTTATTTCACGAACAACAACTGCAGCAGGATATCTTCACCATTATCCAAGGAAATATTTAAACCAGCTTGCTGAGACTTTTGGGTGCCTCTTAAGTCCATCATTGTAATCTATATAGACGAAACCAAATCGTAAGGTGTATCCAGCACCCCATTCAAAATTGTCCGTCAATGACCATGCAAAGTATCCCTTCACATTTACACCATCACTGCACAAAAAGGCGAATTTCAAATGTAAGTATGTCTAGTGTAGTGATAAGTAAAAGATATAAGTTAAACCTTATTTAACTTTTCAAAAGAACTTACTCGATTGCTTTTCGAAGATAGTTGAGGTGGTGGTAGTGGTAATCAATTCTATGGGTATCATTGAGGGATTGCGGAAGTGACAATTTGGGATCATCGAACTCATCAATGCCTACAATATAATTAATTTTTTATTCGATGTTTTTTATTGACGAAGAGGCGAAGAATTATAGATTCATCATTTCATTCCTATCGATTCAACAGATTGCTAAATGTTTGGGAGTTCCCATCTAGTTTTATATGTAGATCACTTATAGATGTCAACTGCATTTTACACCATATACATGTGAAGCATTAATTATTTAGTTAATTAAGGCTTAAAAATAATTACCGTTCTCAGTAATGTAAATGAGCGGATCATTATATTTGTGCTTTGTGTAGAGTAAAATCTCTTGGATGCCTTTTGGATAAACAACTAGCCAGCTTGAAGCAGCCTGCAACCCCAATTTATGAAGGTAAGTTAACTAAATGAAAAACATTTACTCTTTGAATGCAAATAGTTTAGCTAATTGTTCGATACGTACCGGAGGACCAAGGGGGACTCCATTAAGCTCGGCTGCCACAACATTTAGGAATATGAGATTTTAAATATTTTGATGAACTTAAATTACTCAAATTAAATAATTGGTTTCTCATTTTGTACTCACTTGATTCAAAAACGCGAGCATCGGTCAAGAAGCTTGCATTTGCAGAATTATTATGAGGTCGATCACTTGAATAGTGAGTAGTATAATAATTCATTCTAACAAAATCAAATGGCCCTTTTATTAACTTGGATTCTTCTTCTGTAAATTTAGGTAATCTTTCTTTAACAAGAACTTGCATACTGTGCGGATATTGGCCGCTTGTCAATGGCTCCATAAACCTACATAATCATTGAAATTTCATCAATAAATTTTGTATTATTATCATATAAATGAACAGTTAATTGGGTTGATATATAAGTTTGGAATTAATAAACTTGCCATCCAAACATAAAATCCAATGATCGATTTGCAGCATTCCAATGACGTGTTGCGTTAGAAACTGGCACAAACCAATTTGTCGCTAATGTTATTCCTATCACGCCTTCTTGAGATGCCTGCACATCACCACCCAAACTTGATTAGTTACGGTATGAAAAAAGGTAAATTAACCCTATCTCATTAATTTAATATTACAACATTGAGTATTAATATGACCTGATATTTAGTCTTGTACACTTTAACAGCATCTGCATGAGCGAGGAGGAAGTGGTGCTACCATATAGGGTTCGGTAGCCGAATCACCGCCGTTGCAGTTTAAGTTCTGCCAAGCAGAACATCGCCCGGGTGCTAATTCTCCTGATGCATAGCCAAAAGTAATAAAAGTATATGGCTCATTTAGTGTGATCCAATGCTTTACCCGATCACCAAATAACTTGAAAGCAAAGTTCTACATAGTCTCGAAAATGATTGCTGCAACATGGAAAATTAAAAATCAGTTGCATGCTGATTTTGAAGGTTTACGCATTATAGCAATATACATTTGAATATCTAAACGATCAATCGTCAAGAAGATAAAGAATTATTATTAATTAGAGAATCAAAGTCTACTACTTACACAATTTGACGGTTTAAGAAACCACCATATTCTTCTTCTAAAGCTTGAGGAAGATCCCAATGAAAGATTGTCGCATATGGCGTTACACCTGTGCATTATCAATAAAAGCAACACGCTCGATTATATAACATGTAACTCTTAATATGCATATATGTATATGTGTGTGTGTGTGTATTTGTAAGGTGGGATGATATATGAGATTAAGCAGTTGCATCACCTTTGTTTAGGAGTTCATTGATGAGATTGTTGTAGTATTGTACTCCTTCCTTGTTCACACCCCCACTTAGCTTTCCATCTAATTATATAATTAAAATTAAACAAGAACATAAGCAAATACATTCGAAAGGGGACAAAATAGGTTAAACTACAAATATTATTGGTTATATTACTTAGAGCAAACATCATGAATGGACACACTACCAGGGCCGGTCCTGAGTTTTTGGATGCCCAGTACGAAAGCTCAAAATGTGCCCTTTTTTAATACTAAAATATATGTTTGAAAAAAAAAATATTTAACGAGGGCTGGAACCCAGTCGAAGCTAGGGGGCTAGGCCCTCACGCCCAAATTATATTATTTGAGAAAATATACAACCAAGGGGGGGGAATTTCCTATCATAAATTTCACATGTTGGTAATTTTCGATCATAGTAGTGTGAGGAAAATTTTCTAGAGAGTTTGTCCTTAGGATAAATGATATTAGTTTCTCAAATTGGTCTCTTTTCTACAAGTCTCTCATTTCTGCATTAAGACCATCCCAAACTCTTGGATCATAAATGTTTAAATGGAAAATAGGTTCAGGAGATTCAATATTTTCCTCTACACCAATATGATCATCATCAACATTTAAATTCACATCACCACATTTTCATGGTCTTCAGACGCATCAGCAACATTTTCTTCTAAATCACTACTATTTTCATGATCATGAGACTCCGCAACAACATTTTGTGATTCTTCACCAACATTATTTTCTCTCAAATTTTCAACTGACTCATTCTTTGTAGAGAAAACTTTATGAAGAGATCCTCTTAAACTTTCGGCAATTTCGTTATCCTTTGCCTTTTTTTTCCTTTTCATATTACCAGAGAGTTGTTTCCTAAAAGACATGGCTTCCATAATTTGTTTGCAAAAATTACCTAAACATGATATAATAAAAATTTCCTATCAAAATTATCATTCCAACACATATTATATATTATAAAAATACTAACACATAGTCTAACATATTATAAAAATTGAACCTAAAAATTGGGTTTGAAATGAAATCAGTAATTCAATTCATCAACAATAACAATTCTATACATCAATTATCATATAATTCTATGTCACTTGCAAAATTTTATATTAAATTATGAATTGATAATTCAAATTTTAAAAATTAGTTTACCTCAAAACTCAAAAGGGTTGGTGGTGAGTGAATGCTCTTGGCACTTGCACTTGCAGCAACCAATGAATGGTGAATGGGCTTGGCGCTACTGAGGAGAAGGGACAAGGACCTCCAGTCCTGCAGGAGATTGCAATTGAAAAGGGACTCAGACGGCAGGGAGGGAAGTGGGGAACCAGGGGGTGGGGGGGTTGGGGGGAGGGGGGAGGGGAGGATATCGGGAAAGGGGAGTAGGGATATGGGAATATAGGGTTTGTGGGGACCGAGTGGTCCCTTTAAATGTCGTTTTGTAATTTTTTTTTTATATATATAAAATTAAACCTGGGCCTTTTTTTCACTTTTCTTGGGCTCTTGCCCTCCAGCCCCTATTTGGGCTTTGGACCTTTTTTTTTTAATACCTAGTTATTTGGGTTATTTTTTTGGTGCCCCCTTTAGTTTTGGGCCCTGGACAGTTGCCCCTGTGGCACTGGGCCTGGGCCAGGCCTGCACACTACTTCGTCCCAACTAATTAATGCGAATGCGGATGAGCAACTTACTTGGTAACAATCTTGACCATGAGATAGAGAACCTATAAGCATCCAATCTCATATCATTCATAATCTTTACATCTTCCTATATAGAATAACACAATATGTATTATAAGAAAATGCCTCATCTTCAACGTCCTTAATTTTCTTAAGGCCGTAAATTCTTTAATTCTCCTTATACTATTGAATAATTCAGAAGGACTGGAGAACAAAGTTAATGAAATTTTTGAACCTTATAGTGGTGGTATTGATCATCAGCCAAGTTCTTTTCATTAAAGCCTCTCTTTTTTTTCCTTGTATTATGAGAGGTAAAGTTTATGTCCCTTTTAACTAGATGTAAATTTCTTTCGTTACCATAAAATTCTCTTGTATCGCAGACGTTTGTTAAAAATAAAAAAATAAAAAAAAGTTTTATTCAAGATGGATGGCAATTGCTAATTAGGGCTTTTGGTGAACTGGAATGGTTTTGGCCTTCCTCGCGTGGCGTTTATATAGAGAAAGTATGTATGAGGAAAACATGTAACCGTTAATATTTAATTAAGAACGTGGATCAATACAGATAATAAATAATTAGTAAAAGTATAGATTATAAATAAGTACCAAAAGTCTTCGATATCAATTGGCTAGACACCTTCACAACACTATAAATAATTTAGAATGTCACGAGAATATAGCCCTATATAATCTAATCTTGATAAGGTCATGACTTGAATAGTTGCACTAAGTTGCCCTATATAATCTAATCGTGATAAGGTCATGACTTGCATTAAGTTGGGAACGTGCACATAGCGTACATGAAACTTAATATCTTGGAGATTTCAATGAACAGATTATGGTGAGGTGAAACTTTTATTAGGGATGGGGTAAAAAAAGCAGGGGTGAAATTCTATTTCTTCACGTTTTTCCTCCAAACCTATTGAAATGTGTAACAAGTTAAGAGGTATTGTACATACAAAAACGAAGTAAGTACTTGTTTGTGGGAATTACTGGATATACTGGTTTGTTAATATTAATGTTGTTCCATACTTTGTAATTATTTTAGAGTTAGATATCTTTACTTCCTGCTTGGAATTTGACAATTTGTTAAGGAAATTCAGCTGGTCTCAGTAACATAATAAAAGACTACAAAAGTGTTCTAGAGGGCTGACCACTACACCAAAATTGTCAAAAAGTGGATTGAAATTGAGATGTATCCCTATGCTAGTTTGGAGGGTCCGCACCTAATCCATCGCTATAGCAAAATTGTCAAAAAAAATTAGTTATATTGTAGAAACTGTCAAAAAGTGGATTGAAATAGAGATGCATCCCTATGCTAGTTTGGAGGGTTTGCACCTAATGCATCGCTACAACAAAATTGTCGAAAAAAATTAGTTATATTGTAGTTATGATAGCAGGCAACGGGAACAAAAAGGTTCCACAATTTTGGTTCTAGACTTCTAAGAGAGTAATTAGAATATGAGAGTGTAAAGTGTAAAGTTTTACTTCTAGTTCTATACTTTCTTGGGGAAAGGTTTTATATACACGAATTCACACATCCATCTTGAATAAAACTTTTTTTATTTTTTTATTTTTAACAAACGTCTGCGATGCAAGAGAATTTTATTAGTAACGAAAGAAAGTTACATCTAGTTAAAAGGGACATAAACTTTACCTCTCATAATACAAGGAAAAAAAAAAGAGGCTTTAATGAAAAGAACTTGAACCTAACTTTAATTTAACCAAATACTACCATAAACTATTATTTAACCATAAAAACATAAAATTTAATCTTAATGACAAACTATTCATGTACCAGCCCTCCAAACATAAAAGCTGGTGACCGAACTAAAAGCTCAACACAATAATTTTTTATTTTTTTTTCAAACTTGCCCCCTAATGGAAAGCCTGTTACCTTATTAAATATGAAGGTGATGAAATGACGTCCACCATCCCCACTTCCATTT